ATATATGAACCTTAATAATCTTTTCAAAGGTTTTGCCAAGGCGAGACTGACTGACCTATAGTTGCCTGGATCCTCCTTCCTCCCCTTCTTGAAAATAGGGACCACATTGGCCCTTTTCTAGTCCTCCAGGATCTGGCCCATGCACCACAAGTGCTCAAATAATCTTGCCAGTCGCTGTGCAATGACATCAGCCAGTGCCTTCAGTACCCTCAGATGGAGCTCATCAGGGCCTGCCGACTTAAACGCATCCAGTCCTTCCAAGTGACTCTGCAACATCTCAGGGTCAATGCTTGGTAGTCTGGCGCCCAGCTGTTGTCTCTCTACGATCCCATTGTGAGACTTGTCTTGCCCCTCGTTTAGGAAGACTGAGGCAAAGACCTCATTGAGGACTTCAGCCTTGTCCCCCCTGTCTGTCACCAGTTCAGTAGTGGTCCTATACTGCCCTGGGCCTTCCTTTTACTCCCTATATATCTGAAACACAATTTTTTGTTATCCTTACCTTGGGATGCCATCCTCAGCTCCATGGTAGCTTTGGCCTTTCTAACTGCCTCCCTACAACTGCGGCTCAAATTAGGCTCAGAATATGAACAGGAAACAGATCTGTTGAGTAAGGGCCTACCACGCATGGGCTATTCCAGCACAGCTTGCAAATTTGACATTTATGTCATCCGTCCCATCCCACCTCCCGACTCTTCAGCAACTTTCCTGTGTAGACAAGCTGAACAGAGATGCCGTTTTTACCTAACTTCCTTTCAGAACAGAACCAAAATCCAGTGTAAATTTACAATAGGGCTGTTCACCTGATCTGCACCTACACTCCTGGAGTGTACATGCCTACAGTCTAGGAACCTACAAGCCCTACTAATAGTCTGTATTCAGATGTAGCTCACATGGTCCTTTGAATGATAACATAATCCCAGAGTGGGTTTAAACAGAGATAGACAGCAAAATGAGCACAAATACAATGAGAAATCTTGCTGCTTAGTGACAGAAAGAGAATGGCTTGCAACTATCTTACTATTGGCATAGTGACTATAAGTAAAGTTGTGTAAAAATCAGTCATCCATCTAATAATTTTGAATGTGGAAATGCAAAATATAAAGATAATATGGTACAGTAGCACTATAATAAAGTCTATCAAATGGTATAACACAAATATACCTTGAGTTACAAGTGATATACTGCAGGATACTACATGACTTCAGGCAATGGATCTCAACTAGTGGGACATGGAGGTGTTACGGGTAGGAGTCTGACAAACTTGAGGCAGCTGCCAGCCAATTTCATGTGGAAATCATGAGACATTTTCATGGGTGGAGCACAGCAGGGCCTGCCACACCTCTGTTTGAACAAGTGGGCATTGGTGGCCCCACCCCTTGCCACTGACTGGCTATGAGAGCTGTCCATCATGCAGTCCCACTCCTTGCCACTGACTGCTGGTGAGGGGCAGCGTTGTATGATGGACAGCCCTCGCAGACAGCCAGCACCAAGGAGAGGACAAGGATGACAGTCATCTTGCCATGCTGGCAGTCCTCCTCCCCCCTTTCCCTCCCAGTTGGCTGTGCAGCAAAGCCGCAGCAGCCACGAGGACTGCCGGCTCCCCAGAGGGAGCTAGAATCTTGTTTTTGGAAAGTTTCTTTTTTTTCAGGGAGCCTGCGCTTTTTTGCAGAGCCTGCCCAAAAATCACAGTTTGCACGAAATCATGATTACATAGTTTTCGTGGCAACTGCGATTTAGTGATTAGAGACTGTTAATGTGCGATTGGCTGATTGGTGACCTATGTAAAATGAGTTTCAAGGTTCTAGAGAATGCATGCAACAAACTCACAGAGCAAAGGAGCCTCAGAGACTTCAAAAACACTTCCATTCCAAAGGACAGCCCTATCTGAACAGGGGGAAATGTGGTGGTGGGGTAATGATAAGTCTTACACACACACTGCCTGTTCTGTAGAAAGAGGATTTCAATCTTTCAATCTTAGGGGTAAAACAGAAATTTTCCGAAGTACAAAGCTGCCAAATTCCCACTTATCAGCTTGGAAGAAAATAAATTTCAGAGAACTAACAGGTAAAAACTAGAGGTGCACCAGTATATCGGTGCCATATCGGATTGGCACCAATAAAAGGGAAATTAACATTATCGGCTATTGGCTTTTTTTGGCTGGTGCAGCTGATAATGTCACCAATAAATATAATATGCCTGCTGGCTGGGGCCCCTGGACGCCACATGCATGCGTGCAGCTGCATCATGCACATGGCCAGGAATGGAGCTGGTCAGCGTGGAGAGCAGTGCCCTGCAGGTAAGTCTGTGAAGGGGAAGGGGCAGGGGGGATGGGAAAGGGCATGGAGGGGGACAGACCGAGGCCCCACACAGTGAGGGAGGGAATGGGGCTGGGGCTGGGGGCACTGTCCAGCCAGGGCGGTACATGGGACCCATGGCTGGGGCAGGGAGCAGGATGGAGCCACTGGCAGCTCATCCAGGGGGTGCAGGTGGGGGAGGGTAGCCCCCCACTGCTGTGTACACCCCCTGGGGAAGGTATGGAGGGGCATGTGCTGCCCCATATGTGTGCATGGGGCGGATGTGGGCTGCCCACTGTGGGCTCAGGGCTCTCTGCCCTACTGCCTTTGCCCCTGCCCCGTCCTCATTCTCTCCCTCACTGTGGGGGCATTGATCTCCCTGCTCCATGCCCCTTCCCCTCCACAGATTTACTTGCAGGGAGCTGCTCTCCATGTTGCCTGGCTGTGCTCCTGTTAATTGGTTATTGGATCAGTGCTGGCTGATATGCCTGGTGAATAATTGGTAGGGCTGTGCAAAGCTTCAGTTCCTGATTTGATTCAGTGGAGATTTGGCCTAGTTTGGTCACCGAATCTCCGAATCTGAATTGAATCAGAGGACCCTTTAATGTCCCTGAATTGAATCAGAACCCTCCAAACTGATTCAGAGAGATTCGGAAAGATTTGGCAATTCAGCCATAGACACAGCTTTAAATGTTTTTTCTACATGCCTCTAGGTAGCCGGCGGCTTGTGAGCGCTGCAATGCTGGGGCGCATGGAGTGTCCCACAGGAGTGCGGGGGGTTCCCCAGCGTGCTCAGCAGCAGACCCGGAAGTGGAGCAGAAGCACTTCCGGGTCCACTGATGAGTGTGCAAGGGGGGCACGCCGCACCCCCCCAGCTTGGTGACTTGTGCCTCCTGGGTCTGGGGTGGGTAGCTGGGGTCCCCCCACGGCTGATCACCAAGCTGGGAGGGGGCATACGGGGGGCCCGCTGCACACTTCTCAGCAGACCTGGAAGTGTACCACAATTACTTCCGGTCCACTTCTGGGTTTGCTGCCAAGCACGTGGAGGGCCCTGCCACACGCCTGTGGGACGCTCCATGCACCCCAGCATCGCAACGTTCACGAGCTGCGCTGGTACCTCAAGGTATGGAGAAAAAACATTTAAATCTGTGTCTATGTCCGAATCGCTGAATATCCAAATCAGCATCGAATCTTCAGATTCATATTCAGCCGAATCAAATCAGGGACAGTGATCCGAATCAACGAATCAAATCACTGTCCCTGATCCAGGCCTAATACAAATCCGAATCGAATAGGCCCCGCTTTGCACACTCCTAATAATCGGCTATCAGTATCGACCAAGAATATCTTTATTGGTGCACCCCTAGTAAAGACTAGGGAGCCTGTGCCATGTCCCAGTCACACAGCATGGCTAGTCAATACCATTGCTACGGCTGGTATTAGTAGCCTATTTCTGTGATCTGCTCCTGCCTTCATTAAAGCAGTAAGAGTAGGCTCAGGCCTCCTGTGCCTCGGTGAGTTTAACTGCTAGGAATTTAGCTAGAGTACTAACCACGCAAATCAACCCTTGCTTTTGTGAGGGGAAAAAAATAAGACCGGGAGCTCTGTGCTTTGCTCTGGTAACTGACTCGGATTTGTTTCTTCGTGAAGAAATGCCACATAGTTCAGTGCACGGGACAGCTACAGAATTGT